TAATTTTTTCATCCCAGGTCCTCAGGGTCATAAACAAGACCAGAAGTCTTATATGCAAACCACCTATAGAGCTAGATAACTGCACGTCAGAGAAGGTTCTCTCTTCTTCTCTGACCTACCCACTCCTCGTGCTTTATTTTTTTGTATTTCAGATTTATAAACAAGTAGCAAGAATAATACAATGAAGTCTTCATACACTTCCTCTAGATTCACCAATTATGAACCAAACACTTTGTACTTTAATCTCTCTCCACCTATAATTACTATCATTAATATTACTGTTAATATTTTTCCTGAACTATTTGTGAGTAAATTGCAGACAACACAGTCCTTTACCCCTAACCTAAATACTTCAGCATGCATCTCCTAGGCAAGAACATTCTCTAACCTAACCACAGTATGATTATCAAATTCAGGAAATTTAACATTGATTTAATACTATTATTCAATATACAATCTATACACAATTTCACGAATTGCCCCAATAATATTTTTTCTTTTTTAAGGAAGATTAGCCCTGAGCTAACATCTGCTGTCAATCCTCCTCTTTTTGCTGAAGAAGACTGGCCCTGAGCTAACATCTGTGCCCATTTTCCTCTACTTTGTATGTGGGACGCCTGCCATAGCATGGCTGGACAAGCGGTGAGGACGCAGGTCCTCACCCGGGATCTGAACTGGTGAACCCCAGGCGGCCGAAGCGGAATGTCCGAACTTAACCTCTGCACCACAGGGCCAGGCCCTAGTTTTTTTTTGAATGTCTGTTAATTTGGGTGTGTCTGATAATTCCTGAGGATCAGATTCAGGCAATACATTTTTGGCAGGAATAATGCCAAAGTAAGCTATGGTGTTATCTTTAGTGCATCACCAAAGGAGGCACATGAGGTCAGTTTGCCCCATTAATGATGCTAACATGGAAAATTTGATTCTATGTCTACAGATTTAGCTATTGTAAAATTACCATTTTTAACTTTGTAATTCAAAAATAATCTGTGATGAGATGATTTAAGGTGGTGTAAATGTCCTGTTCTCCATCAAACTTTCACCCAATAGTTTTAGCATCTACTGATGCATCTCACCTGAGTCAATTTTATTACTGTGGCTGTAAAACGGTGATTTTCTTACGTTATCATTCAGAAGAGAGAAAAAATTCTAATATTTTACTCTGATATTAATTGGGAGCCCGATTTTGTTTTCCATAGCTTGAACACTAAGATTTAAGCAACTTTCTAAATTCAACATCAAAATTTTCTTTTTTTACCAACACCAGACTTTTCTAATTTCCTCCTTTTTAAGTGATAATATTATATAGTGATAATTACTGTTACTAATATTAATGTTTATTAAATGCTTACTCTGTGCAAGGCACTGTGGTAGGCACTTACAGTGTCTCATCTGGTCGTCATAGTACCTAAGAAATAGGTACTATTATTGGCTCTATTTTCCAGGCGAGAAAAGTGAGGATCAGAGAGGTTAAATAACTTGCCTAGGGTCACACAGCTACTTTGCCCTCAAGAGCTGCTGTTGCACCACCCACCAGCACTTGTAAGTAATCAAATGGGAAGGAACTGATCTGCACTGGAAATGTGATCAGTGCCTTTCTCTTCCATTTCCAAGGCCAGCTATACGGTTATATATTGACTGTCTTTCATTGCAGTCAAGGGCTGGAGTATTCACTAGCACTTTGAGGGGAATTCAGCCTTCTGATATGAAAGGGAGTAACAAAAACTCTGAGGTAGGATAATGCAGTGGTTTTCAAACGCTATCAGGAGGCATCTTTTTCCTGTGACCTGAGGTTTTGGATATCTTTCCTCCCCCCCCACCTCCAGTTTTATTAAGATAAAATTGACATACATCATTATATTAGTTTAAGGTGTACAACATAATGATTCAATATATGTATATCGTGCAAACTGATTACCACACTAAATTTAGTTAACATCCATCACTTCACAATTACAATTGTTTTCCTTGTGATGAGAACTTTCAAGATCTACTCTCTTAGCAACTTTCAAATATACAATATAGCACTGTTAACTGTAGTCACCATGCTGTACGTGACATCTCCAGAACTTATAACTGGAATTTTGTACCTCACCCATTTTGCCTGCTCCCCAGGCCCTTGCCTCTGGTCACCATCAATCTGTTCTCTGTATCTATGAGGTGGTTTTTTTTCCAATTCCACTAGATTACTTCTCTTTTCCCATTGTCCTTAGGGGGCTGAGCAATACTCAGGCATGCACCAGGAAAGTTTAAATGTTGAAATCAGGGATTATAGGAGAAAAAAGTGCGGTGAAGGAAAAGAATAGGAGAGTAAAGCGGAGCCAAGGGAAGGAAAATGAAGAGGGAGAGGTATTCCCAGCGGTAAATTTAAATCGAAGCTTCACAAGAGGAGGCACTTCTTTACTGCTTTACCTATAACATGTAGAGTAGAGTTGGGCACATAGCGAGGATGCAGGAAATATCTGTTGAACAAATTATGAGATTGTGGTGCTATTGTGGTGCGGATCCTGGGTGTATGGCAGCTGAGGAGGCGCGCCCCTTAGATCTCCCTTTAAAAAATTGACCATTCAGTCGTAGAAGTGCAGTCAGCTGACAGCCTCCAGCTGGTAGAGATACGGGCCTGAAGCAAGGTTGACATGAGGGAAGCCATGTTGTAACTTAGAACCACCTCTGACTAACTCACCCAAGCTATATACGTTTTACCTTGCACATAGCCTAGGAGATAAATATCTACCCTCTGGGAAACAATCCTGGCTGACACAGGTACCTCCCAATAGTGATAGATGATAACTTTGTTCTTTTGAGTTTCTTAGTAATGTGGCGGCCTCCTCAGAGAAGAATATTTATGCTGGCATCCATCACTGATGACAGCTGCAAGACCTGATACGGTGTCTCCAGGCACTGATGCCAGATGGTCCATGTTCCTGAGCCCCTCCTTCATAGCCCACTAGTCCCTTTACAACTGCCTCAAGATTACATGCTTGTTAAGATGGTCTTTGGGACATGAGTCCACTATCTTCTGATTTTGCCGGCTAATCGAATAAATCCCTTTCTCCATCACCAACTTGTTTGCAATTGATTGGCTTCAGGGTTGCAGTGAGCAGAACGAGCCCTTGCTCCGTTACAGTAGCACCTCTAGGCTCAGCCTCAGCTTTTACATTGAAGCCACAATCTTGCCAGTGACTGAACACAGAGCAGGGTACTAGTGCCTGGCGTTTCTGCCCAATGTGGTCTCTTCTAAGGGCACTCTTTGCTCTGGAGCTCACTTCTGGGTTGGCTGAGACCCTGTCAAATCTCCATCATAGCCTGAGGCTTTCTGCTCAATCCTGCTTCCTCCCTCTTTATCTTTCAGAGACATCCCCACCTGCCTCAAACCTCTTGTACTCCTAACTCCATTTCAGTGTTTGCTTCCTGAGGACCCAAATGACACAAAGGTGTGACAATTTGCCTTGAAACCTCATTATCACCTTAGTGTAGAGCAAAGGTCAGGTTCTGAGTTATTCTAGGTGATGTTTCAGTCCTCTCGATCTCAATCATCTTCGTGGTAAGATTATGCACCCAACTCTCAAGGACAGTGCTACTCAAAGTACGGTCTGTGGACTGGTGCCAGTCCATGAACTATTTGTTATTACCTGTCCACAATGAGATGAGTGAAGAAATTGAGAAGAATCATTTAGAAACTTTTATGGCAATTCGGCATTGCTGCAACAACCAAGATGAGTGAACTGGTTTTCTTGAATAGGGTGTAAATTAATTTGGATGTTGTTGAACTCACATGGTGAGTCCCAGATTGTGTGAATTGTATACTAGTCATGTGCAGTATGACCACATTGCAACTTGTAGTATTTTAAGGTTAGTTTGGTAACTGTGACTCTAACAATGTATAAATCTAACAATGCAGAAAAATGAAAGGAATCCATTTCTTTCATCAAAAGATAATTTAATTTTAAAAATAACGTAAACGATAAATTGTTGGAACTGGCAACTGAGAATGATTGAAATGAATTTTGAAAATGTCATCATTTGTTTCATTTTAGATACTAGTTAAAAATGAATATTCTTAGCTTACTGAAATTCCTTTGAAAACTCTTCTTCCATTCCCTTCAACTTATGTTTGTGAGAATGGTTTCTCTACTATGAATGTAAAAGCAAAACAGAGGAACGGTTTAGCTGTACACCACCCTCAACCAGAACCATTGTCTTTAATTCCACTAGATTAGAAAAACAAACCGGAAGTTCACTTGCCACTTAAAAAACTTTAGATATTGACGTAAAAGGTGTTTGTTCAAAGTACTTTTATAGGTATTTAATATCAGAATCGCTATTTCATGCATACTTTTTTGCCAAATGATGATTGTGGAATAATAAAAAGTTAGGAATGTGAAAACGATGTTCTTAATCACTTATACTACACTTTCAATGAACACTAGGCACAGTTTTTAATTTTTTTCCTCATATGTGTTCTGATTGTATTTATTGAAATGTAGTTTTACGTTTATTGAAACTGATCATTAAAAATCTGGGCTTGAATTTTGCCGTTTTTTCATTTCCCAAGTAATTCATTTTTGCTGTAGTTTACAAAAAGTCACCCTTAGCGTTAGAGCGGAAAAATAAAGAACCGTCCTTCACTACGGATAATCTGGGACGCTGTTCTAGAAGGCTCATTTAGAGGCCGACAAGGTGAGTGTAGGAAGAACCAGGGCCTGGAACGAGCTTCGGGGGAAGTAAAAATCTGAACGAAGCTTTAGTAACTGACACTTTTTTCTGGTTAAATACGCTCAACTCGTATTTGAGGTGGGTGCCGGCTAAATATAAATCTAAAAAAAGGTGTCCAGCATCTCGCCCCACACTCCTTCCAAGGTATCGGCCTGAAGCACTGCTAAAACGGCCTTTCAGCGCGGAGGGGGAGGGAAGCAAGGGACGGGCTGAGCGCGTGAGGTCATCACAGAGCGCCGTTCGCGCCGCGGCCAGAGCCGGCGCGTCACTGACGTCACCGTCGCCCGACTGCTTTCCTGGAGACAGACGTGGAAGGCTAGCGAGGTACTATTGAAAGCCGGGGTTTGCGTTTTCTTGTGCTTCCGCACAAACCGTCTTCTCCCGTGCTGGGATCCCCCTTTCATCGCCGGGCTGACTGTGAGGGGCGGTGTCGGGCAGCGTGGCCTTCCGCGAATTCGGTGCCTCACACGCGAGCGTGGGGGGCAGCCTTGTCGCGGGACCCCTACTGCCGCATGTCCTGTGGCCGGCCGCTCGACGGCTTGGCTTCCCTGGGCCGCTGACGTCTCTCTCTTGGTTCAGCCTTTCGCTTTGTCTTCGCTTCTTAGCTCCGCCTCCCAAGTATTGGAAGGCGGAGAAATGAAAAACACATGACTTCACGGTTAATTTTCATCTGCTTTCAAACCTTGTTTGGGGAGGAAGGTAAAGTGGAAGGTGTAGGGGAGTGACTTCCTTTGTCATCCACGTTTGTCATTCTCGTACAAGATGACAGCCTGCCTGCCGCTGCAGTAGAAGTCCACCCGAGATGGCAGGCTGAGTTCGATGTTCAGTTGAAATCTGTAGTGAATAATCTCAAGAAAGTAATTTCTCTTTCTGGCCCAGGAAAGTTCAGTGTTACTAAAACTTCTGTTTGAAAATACCTTCGTCTTCCTGTTTGTTGGCTGCAATTCAGTTTTGGCTTGATAAAGATGTCTCTGTCCCAGTGAAATGTTTGCTACCCGTTGATTAACCCTTTTGAATTGTCTGATAGTAGACTGAACCTAGTCTTAATCATATGTCCACGGTGGATCCGAAAATAACCAGATAACCCCTGTTTAAGTTCAGAGAACTGTTTGCGATTGGTGGAAATGATAGAACTCATTGTTTTGTTGAAATATAAAATAATGACAAAGTGTGAACAATGGTTTTTCACACTAAAACAAAGTTCTGAGTCGAAAGTTGTTATAGCTGTTAAAATAGCTATATTGTCTGTATCACAGTTCTGAAGTGATAAGATTTTTTCGTATTTGCTTTTAGTTTTTCAAATGGCTCTTCATATCTGTTATCTCAGCTACTGTTTCCAAGCGTTTGACCCTTCAAGTATGGCTCCAAATAGTCCACATTGGATTAGGGTATTTGATCTTTTTCATTTTAGTAAAATACTAACGAATATTACTAGCTAATGTATTGAGTGCTGAGGCAGCCACTGTTCTTGGAGCTTTGCCTCTGTTATTTATTTAATCAGCACAATAGCCCTTTATGTTGTTACAATTATTTTAGGCGTGAGAAAATTGTAATAAGTAAATTCCATGGTTTTGGAAGGTAATTTTGCAGCCTCATATCTATAATTTTGAAAACACTTTGAATTAAACAATAGAAGTAAATTTGTTGTAATCTGATGTAATTATTCACCTCAGCCTTGAGCAACCTCTTTGTAATTTATATCTTTTTCTACTGTTAGATATTGGGATAAATTTGTTGTTAGAGGTTAACATCTTTGAAAGGAAGAAGTCTGTCTTTTCTCAGGATTTTACTCTAAGTCTGAAGGAGAATTTTAGGCGACAGTAATGTAGACTGTCTGTCAAAAGACAGCAGTGTGTATTGAGAGATTGTTGTGTGTATGTTTCACTATTATTTTCTAGGATAATGCAGTGCAAAAAAGTCTTTTCAGTAATCGAATTCTGGTGCAATATCTGCAGATGTTTCTCTAGTTCCCCAAAAAATTATACCTTGGATTTATTCTCTGGTTTAGTTCATAATTATGTGTAACTCTACTTGGCATGGAGATGGAAATAGCCCAGAATGTACATTATCATATACTTTTCTTTTGCATCCATGTGGTGTCCTCCTATTGTCTCTAAGTCCAAACTCTAATCTGATATTAAGATTCTTCAAAATTTGGTTCCAGTTTACTTTCATTAGTTTTATTCAGTTAACAAATAGTTACTAAGTACCTAATATGTGGCAAGACATTGTGTTAGTCATGTGGAGATGCAAATTTCACAAAACATGAATCCTGACTTGAAGGAATAGCCTAGTGGGTAGATAACCAATGGAAAATTCTGAGCAGAGGAGTGACGTGATCTAATTTAGATTTCTAACAGGATTACTCTGGCTGCTGTGTTAAGAATACCATCATGCTCTGCTTAATGGCTGGGGTTGTTCTGAGAAATATCTTGTTAGGCGATTTCATCATTGTGCAAACATCATAGAGTGTACTTACACAAGCCTAGATGGTATAGCCTACTATACTCCTAGGCTATATGGTACTAACCTTATGGGACCACCATGGCATATGTAGTCCGTCAGTAATTGAAATGTCATTATGTAGTGCATGACTGTAGATTGTTGGAGAATGGGATGGGTGAAAGCTAGGAGACTAATTAGGAAGGTGTAATAATTCAGATGAGATGATGGTGGTTTAACAGGGTAGAAAGAATTGAATGTGATGAGTGGCAGTTCAGTTTTGGATATATTTTGTAGGCAAGTCCAGTAGATTTTGTTTGTGGACTGAATGTGGGTTGTGAGAGTAAGATGATTGTCAAGGTTTTGGGCTTGAGCAACTAGAAGAGTGGAATTGCCATGAACTGAGAAGTGGGAAACTGGGAGGAGCAGGTTTGCTGGGGAGGATTAGGAGTTCTGTTACGACCTGTTAAGTTTGAGATGCCTGTTAATCATCCAGGTGGAGATGTTGAATAGGCAGCTGAGTCTACCAAGTCTAGAGTTCAAGGGGAAGGTCGTTGCTGGAAAAGAACATTTGGGAGTTGTCAGTAAACAGATGGTATTTAAAATTGTGAAGCTGGAGACAGTCACCAAAGGAGTGAGTGTGAACAGTAAAGGGAAGCAGTGCAAGATCTAAGTCCTTAGGTATTTTAGCAGTTAGAGGTTTGTGGACAGGAGGAAGAACCAGCAAATGGGAATGAACAGCCAGCGAGGGACAAGGACAGGTTTGAGAGTCTAGTGTTTGTGGAATTCAGAGTGGAGTAGTGTGTTCAGTTTTGTCAAATGCATAGCTGTGGATCAAGTAAAATGAGGATTGACACCTTTGGATTTATTAAGATACACGAGGATTATTATTGATGGATATATGATAACTAAGCCTGGAGAACCTTGGGAGCAAAGAGGAAGAAGAGAATACTTTTGTTTGGGAGATTTGAAAGCCTTTATAGAGGAGGAGGGCATTTGATGTGGGTTTTAAAGGATTGATAGGTTTCACCAAGCTGAGAATATAGGGAAGAGGTGCAGGGAGGGGGTATTCCGAGCAGAGGAAAAAGCCTCGCTTCTCTCCCTTCAAGGCCATACCTCCCAGTCAGCTGTTTTAAAGATGCTTTTGTAAGTCCTTCTTCCCTGTGTCCACTAGCCTTGTTCTGGGTAACCATTCTTGCGCCAGGCCTACTGAACACTGCTAAAGAAATTCACAAAAGACACAAATTAATGCTTCCCAACCTCAACTGGGTCCTCTCTCGGTTACCTGACAATTCCTTTATTTGTTCCTGACTCTCTTCACAGCATTTCCTCCACAATGCCATGTAAACAAATAAATTTAATGAGCGTTTACTACATGCCAGGCACTAAGGATTCATTTATGTAATAGATATTTGTTTAGTATATTTGACATGTTGCCCTGATACTTGGAATATAATAGTGAGCCAAGGCTTGCTTGCACCAGGCTTACAGTGTCGTGTGGATGATGCACATTAATCAAATAATCACAGAAAAAAAATTACAACAATGATTTGGAGAAATACATGGTGCTATGAGACTATGTAACTATAAGATGTGGCAATCTGAGGGAAGAGGGAATGCTGCCTTGAGAAAGCATTCTTGATGAGGTAGCTGAGTTAGGCAGGCAAAAATAGTGATGGGAAGAAGTCCTCACAACAACTCTAGGAGGAGGTTCTAGGGAGAGAAGCGAGGCCAGAGAGGCCATTGTACCATTCAAATAGGGAGAAAATGGTCTCTTGGTGGCTCTCTGCGTATAGGGGAGGGAATCCATTCTTATATTTCTTTGAATAATAGAGCTCAAGAATATATGTTTGATCGTAGCTGCTAGGTACGGAGAAAAGACGTTTTATCTGACATATTTGGAGTCAAAAGACAAAACTAAAACTGTGTAGTAATGAGTCTGATTTCCTTTGTTCAAGAGAAAACAATCCATGGACTGGGGGAGTCCTGGGCCTCAGAAGCAGCGGAGCGCTCTGCCCTGGGATTTTGGACAAGAGCTGATAGAGGATTAGAAGAGGCAAGGCGGACACAGGGCATGATTGGCCGGCAGGCCCTGCATTTCCTTGTAAGGCCAGCGCGTGGTGTTTTCTCGAGTAATGTCTGCTAGGTCACCTGAGTTGGAGGTTTGCGATTGGAGGCTAGTGAGTCTTCCCAACAGTGTGTTTTGGTTTGTGCCTGGGCTTTGACCACCCAGGTGGTGTCCATTTTGTGGGTCATGATACTATGTGAATTAAATTTCAGAATTTCAGATAGTTGAAAAGTTTATTTACAAATATGTATTATTGTAATATGTTACCCATATTATTGTTTAAAAAGCATAATTTCCAGAGTATAATGTAAAATATGCTTCCTTTCCTTCCTGCTTTTCATTTCCCGGAAGTAAACTACAGTTAGCAGCTTCTTTTGTGTCTGTTAGGAAAACTTACATGCATATACAAGTATGCCTCCACACTAATGTCTTTTTTCTTAAAGACAAATGGGATGTATTATATATGCTGTTCTTCAATCTTTGTCCCCTTAATATATCTTAGGAGTATAAGGTCTACTTTATTCTTTTTCACTGCTGCAGAGTATTTTATTGAATGAGTATATCATAATTTATTTAACCAGTCCTTGTTAATTGGCATGTAGGTTGTTCCCTGCTTTAAAGTTTGTGTTTTTTTTTTTTGAGGAAGAGTAGCCCTGAGCTAACATCTGCTGCCAATCCTCCTCTTTTTGCTGAGGAAGACTGGCCCTGAGCTAACATCGGTGCCATCTCCCTCTACTTTATATGTGGGACACCCACCACAGCATGGCTTGATAAGTGGTGTCATGTCTGCATCTGGAATCCGAACTGGTGAACCCTGGGCCACCAAAGTGGAACGTGCGCACTTAACTGCTGCGCCACTGGGCTGGCCCCAAAGTTTTAGTCTTTTAAAGAGTGTTGTCATGGATGTCCTTGAACATTATCTTGTGTGAAAATATACATTTTGAGAGGTAAAATTGCTGGGTCAAAGAATTTGTGGATATACAATTTTGAAGCACAGTGCCAAATTGTCCCACAAAAATGCTCAGTTTACACTCCAATTAATAGTGAATAAGGGCTGTTTCTCCTCACTGTTGCCCGTATTAGGTACTATCAATCTTTTTAATTTTTCTTGTTTGACAGATGAAAAATGGCATCTTGTTTTGGCAATTTATGTTTTTTTTATTATGAGTAAGATTGAGTAGCTTTCTTTATGCTTATTGGTCATCTGGATTCCTTTATTTGTGAACTGCTGGTTTTCTTTGTTCATTTTTCTTTTGGATTGTAGGTATTTTTTGTTGTTGTTAAGTTGATTTGGAGAGGCGCCTTTTATCTGTCTGTATCTTGCAAATATTTTCCCCTAGTTTTTCATTTGACTTTAGACTTGGCTTGTTGGTTTGGTTATTTATTTATTTACTTATTTCCACATGCGTATGTTTCTATAAGTGCCAGGTAAAGATATATGGCATCAGGATTGGATTTTTTTTAGAAGGAAATTTGTGACATTCTTGAAATAATTAGACACTCTGGAGTGTTGGCCTTTGTTGGAAATGTTAGTAACAAAAACCTCATTTGAGCTACAGGCTCTGTCTTGTTTTTATAAGCTTTGTTCAGCAACTGTCACAGATCTGGTGAACACCCAGTAACCTACCTTCCCCTCACACAAAATTATATTTGGAATTGAAATGAGATGTAACAGAGCAGTGTGAGTATTCTAGACTATACTGTCTAGATACTTCCCGAATTTGTGAACTGAGTTGTATTCTAAAGGTTAATTTGTGAGTTAACTATCTAATTTCACTATAGAAATAATGTACAAAGGTTCTTATTTTTGTCCTCAAAGTGTAATTAATCCGTGAAGGCTAGCTTTTTAAAAAATATACAAATTGAAGACATCATGTAAGTTTACCCCTATGTACTTCAGTATGCATCCTTAAATGATGGGGAGATTTTCTGATGTAACTATCATGCCAGTTTCATAGCTGACAAAATTATCAATAATTTCTTACTGTCATCTAAGACCCAATCCATGTTCAGATTTCTTTCTCTCAAAAATATCTTTTTATACTGGTTTATTTAAATCAAGAGCCAAACAAGGTCTACACATTCTATTTGGTTTCAGATCTACCCTTAATCTTTTCTTCCTCTACTTCCCCTCCCTTTTCTTTATTTTTTTCTTCATGCTATTTGCCTGTTACAGAAACCAGTCAGTTGTCATATAGAGTATTTCTCATTCCAGCTTTGTCTCTATACTTTCTGGAGGTATTAACTTTTTCTCTATCCTCCACAGTTCCTGTGAAATGGAAGTTGGCTGTAAAGGCTCCGTTAGATGCAGATTCACCTTTTTGGGGAGTTGGAGATGCTCCACAGTTGGTGCTGTGTACATCACACTGCTTCACATCAGGAGGTTCATAAAATGTTTTTGTTCTACTGGTCGTGATGTGAAGATCGATCCGTGGGCTTGTGTAGTGACAGTTGCACTGCTCCATTGTGAACTTCCCCATCATCCTTTTATCTGTCGGTGATCGTTGCCTGAATCTATAATTTCATGAGGGGTTGCAAAATGATGATTTTTTAAAAAAAAGTTGTCATTTCTTCTACGTTTGTTAGCTGGAATTTGAAGTCTAGTTTTGTTACTTGGGAACCTGACAATCAAGAATAACAAGGCTATTGTGGGAAAGTGCTGTCAGAACAACTTGTGATGCCGGGAATATACCTTTCATTGCTGTAGTTCTGGAGGCTTAAAGGAGTATGATGGTCTTTCTGATGTGTCACCTTGGCTGGCCTGCAGCCCCCAGATATTCAGTCAAACAGCAGTCCAGGTGTTGCTGCAAAGCTGTTTGTAGATGTGGTTAAAATCCAGTCAGATGACTTTAAATTAGAAAGATTATTCTAGATAATCTGAGTGGGTCTGATTCAATCACTTGAAAGGCTTTAGAAGCAGAGCCGAGGTTTATCTGACAAAAAAGAAATTCCGCCTCTGGATGGCATCTTCAGCTTGTAGCTAAGAGTTCCAGCATGCCCTTTTGTGGCAGCCTGCCCAGCATATTTCAGAATTACTTACCCAGCCCCTACAATTGCATAGAGCAGTGTCTTGCAATAAATGTCTTCATATATATCTCCTGCTGGTTCTGCTGCACTGGTTGAACCCTGGCTGGTACCAGGGCCACTCCCCTGACTCTCCTGTTCTCTCACAAAATGGAGTGAGGAGTGGTAGTAAGAGTCAGAGGACCTACTTTGTTTGGGGTGACCATATAATTTATTGCTTATACTGGGACTTCTGAGAGAGAAATGGGTAGCTGAGCAGATGACAAGCTGGAATAACAGGTATAAACTGGGACTGTCCTGGGCAAATTGAGACAGAGTCATTATGTGTGTCAGCCACTGGCGATAGAACGTCAACATGACACAGCCCCTCAAGGAGCTTGTAGTCAAAGGGAAGTCAAGTAAATCAACAGATGTTACCAGACAGTGTTTTAAGTGACACCACAGTTTGTAGTTGTGTTTGTCTAGACAGAGAGAGTGGGAGGGTGGCACTCAGAGATGTCTTCTTTGGGTGAAGTGAAACCTGGTCTTATCTCCAAAGATAAGCAGGGTTTGAACAAAGTGAATTGGGAAGGGCGGTTCCCGTATAGAGAGCCACACTGGTGAAAGGTTAGAGTGAATGACATGGCATATTTGGAAATCTGCCATCATGGCTATAAAGATAGGATTGGATGAGGGGAGTGGTAAAAGACAAGGTTAGTCACACAAGGAAGGGCCCACAGGCTATGGGCTAGCATCCATACTCAGGGGTTGGAATTTATCTTCAAGGTGGTAGGGAACTATTGCAGGATTTAAGCAGGGGTGTACCATAACCAGACTATCTTTGTAGAAAAATCACATTTTGTAACATCCTAAAATTGAGAGTGGAGAAAAATTGACAGTAGGAAGAGGCTCTTGAAATAATCTAGTCAGTGAGAATGGAGGAAAGCTTGTGGTGTAAGGAGATTAAAGGAGGCCATATTGACAGGACTGGTTGGATTTAGGGCCTGAGGAAGGAATGAGGGTGACTCCCAGGTTCCTGGCTAGACTGACCTCCCTGAAGCAGAGAATGGCAGAAGGTGGGAGGGGGATGGCTTCAGTTCTGGGTGCGATGTTGTGCACCGCTCCATTTCTCTTCCCGGTGCTGTGGCTTCCGTAACCAGTGAGAAGAGGGAAGGAGTGGCGATAACATCCTGTAGGGATTACTGGGCAGGGTTTCCCCTCTGCCCCTTAGTCTCAGCCAGACCTTCCTGAGAGATGAAGAGAAGCAGATTTTATCAGGCCCTCTTCCACTTTCTCCACCTCTGCAGTGCTTTAGAATACCTAGAGAAGCTGGGAGGGCAGTGAGGCGCAGAGATGGGTGAGTCCTTTTATTCTGTCTCTTCTTTGGAGGTTTTACTATGTACAACCTTGGGCAAGTTATTGAACCTCACTGTAACTCAGTTTCTTGTCTGCGCGGAGTAGATGAGTTAATGTGTGTGGAGTGCCTAGAATAGTGCCAGGCTCATAGGCAGTGGTGTTCAAGTGTTTGCTGTTGCTGCTCATATCATCCATTCACTGCTTCATCCTGGGATCTGAGGAGCAAAGGGAATAGAGGGAGGTTTCTGCATTCCCTCCTTGCAGCTTTTCCTGTGGAAGGAAGAAATATTCAGGAACTGTCTGTATAAAATGTTAGAAGAAATCATTTGAGTTGGGGGAATTTCTGACAATAGAAGAACCTTTATTTTTTAGACTGCCTTGCCTTTATTTTTTGGTTAGGAAAAAGGCAAGCGGTTCAGTTCAGATTTAATGAGGGTAATTATTCTTATTGCCTTGCTTTCAGTATTCACCCTAACTCATTTTAACAATAAATAACCACTTGTTTATTGGGGCTTAGGGACAGGGAATAATTGCAGAAAAAAACCCCATCATGATTCTGGAGAGGGAAAATATTTTCTAATGGAAAAATTGGATGAAAAAATTCACATTTAAATAAAGGCCTTTTTGTATTTTTATACTTGCAGTATTTGTTAAAAGCCAAATACTTTATTAAAATGTGCCTTTATTTAAATTTAATGACTGTTTATTTTTATCACAAATTTAATACATGCTTTTTGAAATAACAAAATTTAAACAATGAAGACTGAAGAGTGAAAAAAAATGAGTCTGCTTTGATGCTCTTCCCTAATCCCTGCCCCTTCTCAGAGAGAATGTTTGGTTTCTGTATGTTTCCTCCACAGCTTTTTCTACATGTCTGCATGTACAGGTGTTTTAAAACAGATGGCATATATTAGATACATTGTGTGTTATATACAACCTTCTATGGCTTTTTTCATCCCTTCTCATTATGTGTTACTACATAAATATTCACTTCTTTATTTTTAATATTCTCTTGGATGCATGTGCTCTAATTCATTTAATTATTTCCCTATTGGTGAATATTTAGATTATTTCCAGTATTTTGTTATAGGTTATTTATTCAACAAATGTTTATTGACTACCAGGCAGTGCTAGTGAATAAAACACAAAAATTTCTGCTCTCATGTAGTTACCTCTTTTTGGAGGTGGACAGACGTTAAGCACGTAAAATAAATAGCAGACACTATTGAGGACTGGAAGGTAGAGAAGAAGTTAGGGAGTGCCCAGAGTGAGGGGAGGGGTGTGCATTTTAAAATAGGGTGGTCAGGAACCATTTACCAATAGGGGACATTTGAGTAGAGATCTCGCTGAAGATGAAATAATGAGCTCTGAGGCTATTGGTTGGGACAGGACACGGGGAGAGCATTCTAGGAAGGGGAGAAGTAGAAAGGCCCTGAGGTAGGGACATGCCTGATGTGATGGGGGACCAGCAGTGTGGCCATTGTGGCTGCAATGGAATGAACAAGGGGTAGAGTGGGAGGAACTGAGGTCACAGAAGGCAGAGAGAGTCAGAGCAGACTGTGTTGGGCTTTTTAGGGTATTGTAAGGACTTTGTCTTTTACTCTGAGTGAGGTGGCAAGCCTTTGGAAGTTTCCAAGCAGAGGTGTAACATCATCTGACTTAGGTTTGGAATGATCATTCTGCTTTCTTGGTAATAAACTATCCTGCTGGAAACAGGGAAGCTGTTTAGTAGCCTATTGCAACAATCCGGGCAAGACACAGTGATGGCTTGGACTGGTTTGCACCAGGGTGGTAGCAGTAGAGGTGGTAGGATGCAGTTGGATTCTGAATATGTTTTAAAGATAACGTGAAAGAGAAGAATCAAGTACCACTCTGAAATTTTAGTGCTGAAAAATTAGAAAGTTGTTGTCATGAAATGAGACAGGGAAGACTGCAGTAAGGCAAGATTTGGAATTTGGCTTTGGGCACATTACCTTTGAGAATCTTTTAACATCCAACCAGAGGTATTGAGTAAGCAGCTGGAAATGTACATTTTCAATTCACTGGAGAGGTCAGGGCTGGGGATACAAACCTGGAAGTCATCGGTTTATTAATGCAATTTAAAGCCCTGAGCTCACCTGGAGAGTAAATTAGAGAGGAAAGGAGAATCAATGACAGCCTTTGGGCACTTCAAGGTTAAAAGGCTGAGGATAAAGGAGACCAAGAAAGCACCCAGGCAGGTAGGAGGGACACCAAGAAAATATGATGCCCTGGGAATCAAAGAAGGGAGTCAGTGGTATCAGCTGACAAGATCTGAGAATCAACCATTGAATTTAACAGTGTGGCTGTGTGGGTGACCTCGACAAGAGCAATTTTGAGTGAGAAGTGGGGTCCTGATTGTAGAAGATTCAAGAAGGAATGGAAGGAGAGGAAATGTGACTCTTCGTACAAGCAACTCTTCTGAGGAGTTTGTTCTAATAGGGAGATAAAAGGTGGGGCCTTAACTGGAGGGCGATATGAAGTCAAGAGGTTTGTTTTTTGTCTAAGATGAAGAAATAAAAACGTTTTAAGCTTATGGATACTGATCCATAGGGGGAAAAATTGATGCAAGAGAAAGTGGGAGAAATTCAGAGAAGAGTTTGAGGAGTCCATTCTAACAAATTTATATGCATATATACAAGGGTTTCTGTGGGCTAGATTCTTAAGAGGATTTCCTGAGTCAAGGGGTAGTGCATTTAAAAATTCCGTACCAATTTATATTCCACCTTCAGTGTATACCCTTGCTAACACTGAACTTTGCTAATCGTTAAAATTATTGCCAATCTGATGGGTGATATTTTCATTATTTTAATTTTTTTCTTGCGTTGTAGGAACTCTATATAATAATCTATCTAATCGTTTGTTGTATTTTGGCAAATATTTTCTCCCAGGCTGTTTCTTGCCTTTTAACTTTGTTTATGGTGTACTTTTACCATATAGATGTTTTTTCAGTTTTTATGTAGTTAAGTCTGTCAGCCATTTCCTTTTATAGCATTTTGGTTTTATTTGGATTATGTAAATATTTTATGTAATTTTTTAATGCACTTATACATTTACTTTTTTAATGCATCTGGAGTTTATTTTTGTGTATATTATGAAATAAGTATCTAAGTTTTCAGTCTTTTTCTATGTTTTTAAACAGTTAAATACCATAGAAGTAACTGTTTCTTGAAAGTTTGGAAGAAATTACCTATCATATCTTCTAGGCTGGAAACCTTTTTGGAGATCTTTGACTACTTAACTTTTTTTTTTCTCTAGTTAATGATCAACTTAGTTTATGTAATTTCTTCTTAGGTTAGTTTTGCTAATTGATTTTTTTCTCAGCACCTCATACTTCATCTAGATTTTCAAATTTGTTGGTTTAAAATCCTACATGAAGAGAAGAAATACTAAGTCTTCTCTATATTTGCAGTGTATCCTTTGTACTTGCACCTTTATCTGGGCAGTGGCTGCTAGAGCCAGCCTTTCACAGGTCTGGAGATTGGCCTCGCTGTTTTCAGCCTTCCCGGCTCAGCTCTTACTGTCCTGCATCCTGGGCTTGTTCCTAGGTTCTCCCTCTCTTCTGTTTGTCAGGGATGGCAGGCCCCTTGGCTCTGTTTCCTCTCAGTCTGATCCCATTTGCTCTGTAGCTTACAACAGTTTCTACTGTTGAGGTCTCCTGATGGGCATGTGCCTTTCTTGGTTTCCAGCATCACTATGGACTTATTTTTGTATTTCTTCTGTCATTTTGGAGAGATTTTGCTAGGGATGAGAGGCAAATGTGTATTTTCAGTTAGCCTTTTGAAATAGGAAGTCACAATTCTTTCCTGCATGGTTTTCTTTTATCATATTCCTTTGTTTAATTGCTGCTGCACAGTAGTCGCATAGTAGCTTTACAGCGCAAGTAGTGGTAGTCAGATGGACTTCACTTTTTTTTTTTAAATGAAACCAGATGTGTTAGTGGAATATCCTCGTTGAATAGAAATGTTGATATGTTGTGACTAAATATTCAAATAGTACTTTTTAAACTTAAATGACATAGTTATAACATTTAGAACTGTAAGAGACTTTACACATCATTAGACCAACTGCCTTATTCTGTGGATGAGGTATTTGAGGCCCAGAGAGATGCAGTGATTTATCTAGGGTGACAAAGTCAGTGTTCAAGCAAGATGCAAAGCCCAAGTCTCTTAACTTCAATTCTGCAATGCTATTTGCTATTTTGCACGTTCTTGCTATTCTCTTTAGTTATGTAATGAAAGAGGTATTTTCAGCTAATAAAAAAAATTTTTTTTAACCTAAAGATGGTACGTATGGCTTGGAATTGCCTCTGAAATTTGGTCTTAGATGCTATATTAAATGTGTTGACACAGATTTTGCTTTTTCTCACATAGGTATTAAGTATTATGATATAAATGTGAATTTTAAAGAATGGGCTGTCAAGGTATGCTCTAGCCTAAATGAAAACCATATAGTTTATTTCTCCCAAGTTTCCTCTTTTCTGCTTATAGACTTTATGTGATTTATAGACTCTTTGAGTTTCTTATTAATATTTTAAAGAAGCTTAAGGAATGTATATAAATATAGGCTTGAAAAATGATTTTAGGGTTAAATAATCATAAGATATTTCTGACCTAGGATTTCTAACGTTTTAGTTTAATATACCATCTTGCTAGATCAACACCTACATTTAGAAGGACTAAAAAGGACTAAGTTTTTAAAAAAGAGAGCTTTCCTTAGCATTTTTTCGGTAAGCATTAGGGAGTGTACTTACCACACTTTCATCGCTTTGCTTAGTCTTTAACTTCAACAGAAAGTTTTGTAAATGTGGGATTTTGATAATTGATATTCTGTGTTTGGTAGTCATGTCTTTATTCTTGAAATGCATTGAGGGTTTGATATGTGTAGCATTAGTGGACTTGGGTGAGTTCTTGTCCCCCCTGACCGCAAGCAACTTAAGAAGAGGGGAAGTTTGAGGGACTGGCCCCGTGGCTGAGTGGTCAAGTTCGAGTGCTCTGCATTGGTGGCCCAGGGTTTGGATCCTGGGCGCGGACATGGCACTGCTCATTGGGCCATGCTGAGGTGGCGTCCCACATGCCACAACTAGAAGGACAGACAACTAAAAAAAACCATACAGCTATGTACTGGGGTACTTTGGGGAGAAGAAGGAAAAATAAAATCTTTAAAAAAAAAAGAAGAGGGGAAGTTTGAATGTAGTTGCTGTAGAGTTATATTCTAAGATTTGTTTAATTATCTTCAGGTTTTAACTCTTTTAGCACTTTGAAATACGTGATATGACCTATTGATTTTTTTCTTGGTAAACTATTTCTGTTTACAATATGAATTCTAAGAATTTATGTTTTTTCCAGTTGGTCATAATGGCAAGTGAAGAAATTAATGAAGACTATCCAGTAGAAATTCATGAGTATTTATCAACATTTGAGAATTCCATTGGTGCTGTGGATGAGATGCTGAAGACTATGATGTCTGTTTCTAGAAATGAGTTGTTGCAGAAGGTATTTAAAAAATGTAATTTCTAAAAATGTAATTTCAAAAACAGAGTGCTGTTATGAAACATACCAAAGAAGAAATAGATTAATGATATATGCTCCTTTTCCCCTTTCTATCAATTTTATAAGTGTTTGGGTATTTTTAGGGGAATAAAACAAGACAAAACTCCAATCTTAGGAAATACCTCCTAACTATATTTTTATTTTGACTTGGTTTTTAAAAAATGGAGCACTCATAGCATTCTTTTTCATAGACTCTCTATCTTTGACCTTTTAAGTATTACAATGATGTTATCAGGGTTTCTGGAAACCCTATAGGACAAAAAGAGTAAATTGACTTTGACAGTCTAAAACAAATCTCATTATGTTTCTTCTGTCTTTGGTATTGCCTAAGCATTTTAGCGTGCTGCTTATACATAAATGCATCATGTACCATGTTTATATTGATAAATTACTTTTGACATACAAAGCCCAGATCCATAACTCTTGAAACTAAAATAATTCAAAAGAATTTTTCTTGGATTATCCACATTCCTTGTCTAACTAAAGATGGTACCATGAAGTGAAAATTTGTGGGCAAAAATCACTGGTTAACGAAACTTCTTTTTGCAAATTATTTCCAGATCATTTGGTTATTAGATTATAGAAAGTGAAGAAAACATTTCTTTGATACATTGTGCGTGGTAAAAGTTGAAAATACTGTGTGATGGTGCTAAGTTTGTGTGTATTTCTTTTTTCATTCTCTCTCTGTCTGTCTTTTTTTTTTTAATAGTTGGACCCACTTGAACAAGCAAAAGTGGATTTAGTTTCTGCTTACACATTAAATTCAATGTTTTGGGGTATGTATATTTCTTTGGAGTTAATTAGAAAGCAAATTCTTTATTGTGTTAAAGGTCATTTATTTTTTAAATGGTAGCAATTTATATATAATTATACTTTATGGCAATTTTAATAGTCAGATATTTATTTCTTTTAAATCAGAATACCAGATGCCCATGAGCCACCTGTAAATTTAGTATTACATAGAGGTTGAATAATTTAAGATTTAATTAATTATTTGTGTGACTTTTATTTTTTGAGTAGAGTTTCTTTAATTAATGCTCCTAATTAATATATACACCATTTTATTCCATGAAATCTTTCTTTTGTAGTTTATTTGGCAACTCAAGGAGTTAATCCTAAGGAGCATCCAGTAAAGCAGGAATTGGTAAGGTGGCATTGGGTTTCTTGTTATTTTATGTGTCTGTCTGTTGTGGTATTCCTGAAGTTAAAGTGGTAGTACCTTTCTCACACTCATTGTGGAGAACAAAATTATTTAGAGTTGAAATTACAAAAGTGAGCCAAATTTCATCATGTCTTTAGTTTTTCTTTTTCTTACCTTTGTCGGAGGATTGGTGTTCCATGTGTTATATAAATCTCTGGATGGGAAAATGTTATGATTCTAGTAATTATTTATAACTTCCATATTATTTTCCCTATAAATTCTTGAAATCCTGTTCATCTCTACAACTGCGGTTTTTTTTTTTTTTTTAAAACTCTTACACAATTCTTAAAAGTATATTCTAGTTGATTTACTAGCAAAGACGGGAAAGTTTCTCCCCCACCTTTTCAATTCTTCCATTAATTCATTTTCTCAGCAGTAAAGAATCCAGTTCAGCAACAAAGCTAAAAGCTTTTTTGGCACCAGTTGTATGTGTACTGTCCAGTAATTCTGCATTAGTGACATATTTACAACCTGTAATAAATCTTCTAGGTTTGTCTTTGTATTCCATTTAGATGTATAAGTACAGTATATAAGGTCTGGTATCTTGGAGTTTTTGCTGACTTCAAAAATTAAATCATTCAATTTGAAGGAAAAAAATTAGAAATCAAACTTATGGTTACCTTCTTGACTTGGCTTTATGAAAAAGAATATTAGTAAATTTATTCTTTGTGTTTGTAAAATATAAGGTAAATATGTACGTGAAATACACTTGACACTGTTTTATTGTTCTCAAGTCTTGTGGTGGTTGATATGTTATTTACAACTTAGTAAAGTACAAGTTCATTTATTTTAAAAAAAATGAGTAAACCAGATCCGTTGTCTTTATTTTTTTAATGTATGGACTAAGACATTTTCTTCTTTTAAAAGTTCTTGGGGAAAAATGAATTTATTTTTAAATACAGAATTGTGAAAAAGATTTAAAGCAAAAATATAAAGCAGTATGATACACACATCTTCATTTGACCAGTGATATTGGCTTTAAATCCTAAGAAGTATGCATTGTGTCATATGTTTTCAACTTTCTAATAATGAACTTTACATTGATAAAATTCCTCTTTTTTCCTTTAACGCAGTTATTTGGAGTATTTTAATACTTGATTCTGTCATTGGAAGAGGGTAAAATCATCTTCCTTTTTCCTCAAAACCCACTTTATAGAGGAGTACATTCATATACTGGACAAGGGTTGGCAAATAAAAAGCATACGTAAACCTAGTCCCCTTTCCTGACCTTGTGACAGACATTACTAATGGATCACAGAATTAGTGTGTGAGAGGAAACCATTTGCCATGTATATCATGAATGGGGAAAGGCATTGAAAACAGTCAGTTTATTCATTCAACCAATATTTGAGTGCCTGCTGCGAGCCAGGCATTTCCAAGTGAGATGATTCCTCAGTGAATAAAGCTGATAAATATCCCTGCCCTGGTGGCAGATGTCAGACTATCTAGTGGAGGGAGACAAAGAATATAATAAAAGAAACAAACAGATAATAAATATATATGAATAAGTAGTATGTTAGAAAGTTACATATTATGGGGAAAAAGAAAAAATAGAGCTCAGGAGAGGGGGGACTGGAGTGCTTGGGTAGGCTTGCCATTTGAAATGGTAAAGGCAGGGCCTGTTACCAGGGCTAACCTTCGAGCTGACTGGAAGGAAGAGAGGGAGTGGCTGGGTGGATTTTTGAGGGAAGGTCATTCCAGGCAGGGCGGGGTGGGAGTGGATTGAAAGGACTTTGGCTTTTACTCTAAGGTAGCCGTGAGGGTTTTGAGCAGAGTTTCCACTCTTATATTAAAAAGAGTCTAATGTTCTGCATTTTTCTGTGTATGTTTCTGTTTCTGTAACTATTTGGATTATTTTGATGAAACTTGCTTTTAAGCGGCAATCAGTCATTTACTCTGCTATTTTATGGCTCTCATCACCTTTATTTCTCCACTTGAAGTATAGAATAGCCCTTTATTCTGATTAATGTCTCAGAAGATTCAAAGTGGTATGACAACCTATTAGTTTCTCACCTTGTGAAGTCTGATTAGAACCGTATATTTCATTAGAAAGTATCGTGCTTATCAGTCAAAACTATGAAATTGAATAAAAGATCTTGTTTTCATTCTCCTTATTTTAATTGAGACACTAGAAGGTAACATGAAAATAGTTAAATACTGCCTCATCTGTTTCCTACTTAGAAAAATTTCAAGAGTTTGGTTTGTATGTTACAAGTGTATGAGAGCTCTATTTTAGATTGTAGACTTCAGATACATGAGAGTTAATATGTGAATTTAGGTTAATGCTACATTAAACAATGTATAACCACATATAAACAATTCAATGCTTATCTCTGTAGTGATGTCTTAGTCTAGTTCTTCCTCTTTTGAAACACTCAGAACACTTCTGAAATGACTTTTTAATGTCTGACTCCCCCAGACTGTGAACTCCAGGAGAGCGTGGAGTGTGTTTCCCCTGTTCTCCTGCATTTATCGGCACCACTCAATAGGCAGTAAATACAGATCTGTTGAGTTTAGCTGAGGTGTGGTGTAATAAAGCTCAGGGGTGGTGAACAGCTTAGTAAACCTATTGCTTTTCTTCTTCTTCTGTTTTGTCTTTAAGGAAAGAATCAGAGTATACATGAACAGAGTCAAGGAAATAACAGACAAGAAAAAGGCTGGCAAGCTGGACAGAGGCGCGGCTTCAAGATTTGTCAAAAACGCCCTCTGGGAACCCAAACCTAAAAATGCATCCAAAGTTGCCAATAAAGGAAAAAGTAAAAATTAACCTTTTGATTTTGATGTACAGATATTCAAAAAGTACATCATTTTTATTGTTTTCCACAAAATGATGATTATGTGGCAATGCAGGGTTTAAATGTATTCCTTATTGAATTCATATATAAAGTTTACATTTTAAATTTGTAATGCTAAATAATTTTTTTCCCTAGAAAGATTAAGTTATCTTTATTGATTTTCCTGTGGATTGCTATGAGGTTTTTAACATTGTGGTATATTTTATATTCATAGTTTACCATCTCTCTTCACAAGACTCTTATTTCCTTATATAGATCAATCTTTCAAGTACCATTTTGTAAGCAACTATGAAATTTAAGTTAAATGTTCTTTGTAAACTTTTGTCGATCTCAAATGAATAATGACTTTATGAAGTATGCTATCTGAAAGCTGAAGTTATAAATACATCTGGTTTCACTATGTAATATTAAGAAAGAATGAAATGACTTAAATGTCCATTTTTTCCTGTGTAGTTACTTCATGTTTTCATGATTTTGGGAATTACTGATTTTTTTGTTATTTGAAGTGTGAAGCTTTCGGGTTATACTTTAATTCTTGGCACTTTTCCTCTATGTCCCATTTAAAGTAAAATATATTCTCATTACCTTTAGATGGGATTTGAGATTGTCTGTTGCTGGGAGGTTGTGTATTGATGGCTGAGTTTTGGTGTAATGGCTGTACCCTATCCGTAAAGGCTGTAAATGTTGTGTAGCTTACTGGTTTATTTTTCTCTTTTGAGTAAATTTTCCCTTGAAATTAGGCAGGTAGATTTTAGAAATCATCAGGAATGGAGACATTCTGGAGTTTCTCTTCCTGATGCATAGTGCCCACAGTTCTCTTGATCTCGCTTTTTCATATTTTTTGATTGCCTGTTTTTGTGGCTGTACCAAGTATATACAGGTGTTTCAGAACAACTTTCTATGTTATATAATACCACTTAAGCAGAGGAGAAATTCAAAGGAGATTACGTTGTTTTTATATTCTGATTTATTTTTCTGGAATATTTGTTACAGAGAATTCTACATATGTAAAAAAAATTTTTTTTATGTCTAAGCCCATGAATTTTAATTATATATCCTTAATGCTTTCAGTCTTTGAATCCACATCATTATGTGTAGGAATGCCAAGTACAGTAAAGTGCTTTAATTTTTGAAAAAGAAGTTGTTAAAATTTTCTGTGTGATTAATTCTCTATAAGTAACCTTGAATAAATGGATTTCTTGATTTATGGTAGCAGATATTGGAAATGGTCTTAAAATGTAATGGATTTTGTAAAGCATGTTGAACTCTTTCTATGACACATGAAGAGGAAGTCACTGATAGATGCAGAAAGTCTTCTGGCTCAGATGTCAGATGATTTTTGAAGTGGAAGAACATTTATAGTTATTTCACTTCTTTTTTCACCTTCATCTTCTCACATTTACAGCTTTTTCTTTCTTTCTTCCTTTTTTTTTTTTTTTTTTGATGAGGAAGATTGGCCCTGAGCTAACATCTGTGCCAGTCTTCCTCTATTTTTTGTATATGGGTTGCTGCCAGAGCATGGCTTGATGAGTGGTGTAGGTCTGCACCTGAGATCCAAACCCATGAACTCAGGCCACTGAAGCAGAGCGCACTGATCTTAAGCACTGTGCCACTGGGCTGGCCCATCCAGCTTTTTTTAAAGTAACTTCTTCATGAGAAAAAGAAATGTTAAGATCAAGTGTAGTGTACATGTGGCCTTGTGTTATATATTGCAAAGAAACTTATAACTTGCATTTCTGTATATTTCCTAATTCCACAAAAGTTAAATGAAAAATGTCATGCAGTTGCAGAAAATCATTAGCCAAATTATTGCATTTGTGAAAGTCCAACTCTACATTTTGTTAAATTGAGATTCTTAGGTGAATGATTCTTTCAGTGTTGATTAGTAGGAAAAACACCTGTTTGAGTGTATTCCATTTTATTATGTATAATTTTAACTAATTATTTAGTACATAATAAGGGGCTGAATGGTAGTAGTGCATTGGTTTGCTTATTTGTATGTTATTTATTCATTTCACAAGTATTTAATGACATTTACATTGCCAAATACTGTGCTAGGTTCCAAATAAGACCACTGCAGCCTTGATTCTATTTTTATAGTGTCATGAAAAAAGTAATCTTTTCATGCACCTCAATTTTTCAGAGTTACTGGAGAATTTATGACAAATTGTGCTCATTAACCTTAGTCAGAACCATAAAGGGTGATGGGTTGATCTGTTTAACTATGGTACAGTGACTGTTAGCATAGTTTGTTCCAAATGACAGTCTGCTCTAAGTTTAGATGTTAATTACATCTTTTATTAATCTCTTTGGGAATTAACAAGTTGGAGAGGTTATAGCTATAGATATTTTTAAGATTAGAATGATAGACTATTAATCTAATACTAAATAATGAGATTTTGTCTTTTATTATTATTCTAAGTACAATTTCTTTTTGTTCATAGTTGCAGGATGGGAATTCATTTTAGTAAAGTAGGGTATGTTAGAGGAAAATTGAAGCTTGAATTATGGTTTACATTCCTGGAATTAGGAGGTTGTGTCAAGTTGATTGGTTTTTAAGATACCCTGCAGATTAAAAAATTGTTCTTCTTAGCTATTAGAAATAGATTGGTATTATTTCTAAATAAGGCTTTTAAAATTGACTAGAAATGTAGGAAATACTTCAAAAGTGGACAATGTATTGAATATAGATACTTTTTTCTCAAGTAGGTCTTTGGAGAACAAGATGCTTTAGGAATCACTCAATTTAAGATACAGTTAAACTGTAATTTTATGCAATAAATTATCAGAAATTCTGGTTTTACAAAGTGACATTAACTGAGAAAGATTTGAGCAGTGATTCTGACCCTCATGTGATAGCTGAGTTTGGTATATAAAAGGAAGAACAAGGAGCCCTGGCCTCTCATTTTCTCCCTTCATAGCATAGTTAGTAAACTTACTCAGATAAATTCAGTAGCTTTTACTGAATGACCGTGGTAGCAACTCGTTTTATATAAATGTGATCTGAATGTACTTTACTAATAAAAATATTTCCTTTTCCCTATATCCTGGTCTAAAACTCTTCAGTTTTGGAAATGCAAACCATATTTTTTAAATTTCGTATATTAGCATTTTATAGTTGTCATTAACTATTATGTTAGGGGGAAAGTATACAGGATTTTATAATAGAATTCTGTAGATTTGTTCTACTTGATTAATTTGCTGTTATATTACTTGTGAGCAGGATTCCAAGAAAATGCTTCAGATGTTTTTGGTTTGCAGGTTCATTTTCCTGTCAGAGTGAGCTGTCATAGGCTAGCCGCCCTCTGACTTAATGTACATTTTTAAAGTGTTTATTTTATGGCATAGTTTTTAATATAGCCAGGAAGATTAGTAAAGCTGTCCAGAAAAGGGGATAGCTACAGTGATGTCTATTAGCAATTGAGGTTTAATTTTAATTCTCCCCCCCCCCCCAAAAGGCCAAAAACCACAACTAGCCTAGCTCTGTATTACTCATCTCTTAATAAAAGGTTGAGAAAAGATGCTAGTCCCCCACTCCCCCCACAGACCTTGGAGTTTAGCAGATGTATCGTGGCAGTATAACTGCATGCAAGATGTCAGTTTTGTAAAGTGATGTATTTCAGACAGTATAGAAATTTGATGGTGGGAAGAATAAGCTTTTATAAATGAAACATTTAAGAGAGACTCTTTTTTATTATTTGCTTTCAGTTTAGTGTTGCCTTTAAGGTGCACCATTTCAGTTTGGCAGCTACAATAAATGACTGAAGGAAATTGAAGATGATAATTCAACATTTCAAGATGCTTCTGCTGAAATGAATGTAGACCTATCCAGGGCTTGAATTTAAAGTTTATAGTGAGACAGTATTTTCAAGCCAGGTACCCAGGAAATTCATGGTGATATGATTTGAATGAGATGATTAGGAAAAATAGAAAAGAATACTTTCAATTCCTTATTATGTGGGTGTTATCTATTGAGAGGCAATGTTGAAAAATGTTACTGGAAAAAGAACAGAGGCTTGTTAATATACAATTTGCTATAGTGTCCAATTCATCCTGGACCTTGTCCAAAGAACTTTAGTTATTAAAATGACAAAAGAATTTTTGTAATAAGGAATCACCTCTGATTTAGTGCTGTAGCAGTGGATTGCCTGCAGACCATCCTGTAATGTGTCCTGCTGATATTGTGTCATTTAGTGCTTTGCTCTGATAATGTCTTCCTTGACTTAAACTGAAATCATTTTCTACCCTATTTCTCATACTTTCTTCTCTATTATTTTTCCCTTAAGAAAGAAAGAATTATTAAAAGTGTGTATAATAGTTGCTGGGTTTTGACATTTGCAGGTTTTAACTTTGTGATTTTGACTCTTTGTAAATGACCTTAGAGGTCCATGGGGTATATAGTGTTTTGCAATTTTGCCAAGGCACAATGTTTACTCCTGCTCAGTTCCATTCAGGAAGGCATTACTCAGCTAATGATTTAGCCTAGCTAACCTCTCAGCATCCACAGTTTTTTTCCCTCACTTGCAGTCTCATTCGTTTATTCACTCATTCATTCAACATTCGTTCGTTCATTTATAGAGCTCCTCTTGTGTCCCAGCTTCTGTTGTAGGCATGGGAAATTCAGCAGTTGTCCAAACAGTATGTAGTGATTGGAAAATGTTGAACTTTATCATGAGGAAAATGGCTGCTATGGGTTGAATTGTGTTCCCCCAAAATGCATATGTTGAAGTTCTAACTCTCCAAACCTCATAATGTAACCCTATTTAGGAACAGGGTTGTTGCAGGTGTAGTTAGTGAAGATGAAGTCATAGGGTGGGCCCTAATCCAGTATTACAAGTGTCCTTATGAAAAGGGGAAATTTGAAATAGACACACACACATGGACAACGCCATGCGAAGATGAAGGCAGAGGTGATGGTAATGCTTCTATAAGCCGAGGAATACCAGAGATCACCAGGAACCAGCAGAAGCTGGGTGAGAGGCGTGGAACAGATTCTCTCCCTCACAGCCTCCGAAGGAGCCACCCTTGCCAACGCTGTGATTCTGGACTTCCAGCCTCCAGAACTGTGAGACAATCCATTTCTGTTGTGTAAGCCACCCAGTTTGTGGTACTTTCTTATGCCAGCTGTAGCAAACGGATACAGTGGCTATTGGATGAGAGGAATTAAAAAGATTAATAACTTGAATGTGGAAGTGTGTAAGAAACTATGACACAGGGTGAAGATGTAATTCTGAAGGAAACCAGAACCTGTGTAAACTTATCCAGGAATATTTTTGAATTTGAGCAAAGACTGCAAGACTTAAACCGTGAAGTGTCAAAGGTCTCGTAGACTCTTTCTGAAGCCAAAATGTTCAGACCTTTCTAGCAGACATTGTCACTTTATCTGACTGAGTGTGCCATCTTTTATACTTCGTTACCTTGGTTTGAAGAAACTCATTTCCCTGAAGGAAAGAAGACTGTGTCCAGTTTCCATGGAGAGGAGATTTTCACCAAGCCTGTTATTATCATGTACCATGCGGTCTTTTCCTAATGTAATGCACCAGTCAAGTTCAAATAATGCAAATAAATACTTAAACATCTTACACAAGTTGTATGTTATTTGTGCTTTTGTATGAGCACATATCTTAAAAAATCTCGTATTGGATTCATTTGGTAAAGATATTTTCAAAAAATGTCTTAAAATTCCCTTTTTCAAATTCTTACCTGTATAGTGTGCTATTCAGTTTTCTTTCTTTTGAAGTTAGGTATTAGAGAATTCAGAAGTGGGTTTTTGCTTTTAATGATTTGGGCCCTATATATATTTTTAACTATTATAAATGTTGCTTATTGGTTTTCAGCTTTTAGAGTCAACAGTACATTAAACATAGAAGACAATGTGAAGGAAATCGAGTTTAAGAGTGTAAAAGTGAAGGTGTAACAGACAGAAGTGGGTTAGAAATGGGGAGGAGAGAAGAGGGCATCCTCTGGGGAGAAAGCCAGATGCTGCACAACCCTGATGCATGAATATGGTTTTACATTTATTTCAATTGTAGAGGTGATAGCTATATTATTATTTTTAATTCTTCCATCAGAAACTGGAAAGAGTAAGAGGAGGGAGCAGTATAAATTAAATCCTCATTTTTAGGTTGGGGAGTCAGTGGATTAGGTCCAATGAAAAATGGCAGTGTAGGTCTGCATTATGAAGGTAATCACCAGAATTAAAGACAGAAACGATTAAAAGTGTTAATCCCTCTCATGAGCAGAGGTGAAGTGAGAACACGTTTTTTTTCCTTTTTTGTTTTGTTTTCTTATATGCATGATTTCTTTGGTAAAAAGAAATGGGAAAAGAAGTTGTGCTGATCGGCAACAATATTCAAAGAAGCGGCATGACAGTTGGATAACCCAGTGAATGCTAGTTATTTAGTTTTTGAAGTGTTCAGCAATAAATAAAATACTTCAGTGACAGGGGAATAATTTAAGAATGCTTAAGTGTAGTAGCATATATTTCATTGTCTAAAAAAACCTATATAAAAATGTCTGTAGGCGTTTAGTGATTTCCTACATTGGGGCCCCATTTATTTTTAATTTTAATTCTAGACAAGTTGTAGTACAGATATGGCTAGAAAATAAGAATTTTTATTGGGCAGTGCCTCTCTAATCTGCCGGCCATGCTCTTTTGAAACTTCTAAGTGTTGTTCACCATAAGGTTAGACACCACAACAGTAGGGTTTTATGTAAGTGACGGTATGATCTTTGCTCGAATGTCTTAATAATGCCAGATTGGAAGAGGGATTTTTATTGTGCCTAATTTTCATAAAAGGAGACTGGTTCATAGGAAGTATGCTTATAATTTTTTTCAAGCTCTGTTTTCTCACTGAAGTCTAACCAGATTATACTGGAAATTGTTCAGTATCAGAAGTTATACATATTAGAGGTGTAACAAAATGTGTTTTTAGGATTTGTCCTAAGAACAATTAAAATTAGAGTTTAAGGAATTGGAATTGCTGGATTTTATCTGTCACTTTTTATTTTATTTTAATTTTTTTTTAAAGATTGGCACCTGAGCTAACATCTGTTGCCAATCCTTTTTTTTCTTCTTCTCCCCAAAGCCCCCCTAGTATATAGTTGTATATTCTAGTTGTGAGTGCCTCTGGTCGTGCGATGTGGGATGCTGCCTCAGCGTGGCCTGATGAGCGGTGCCATGTCCGCACCTGGGATCTGAACCAGCGAAAACCCAGGCTGTGGAAGGGGAGTGCGCGAACTTAACCACTCGGCCATGGGGCCGGCCCCAAAAGCAGCATTTGGAAATAGCATCAATGCGCGTTTTAATCCTTTTAGGGGAGGTACTGTGTACAGCTTAATGCATATCTTCTTAGACTCTGGCTTGCTAAACTTAATACTTATGTACTGCCTGGAAACTTACGGAAACATTTGAAATAATCATCTTAAGATATAAATGAGATGTATTTGTTGCCTGTATTCCCCTTCCTCTTGTGTGTAATTTTAAATTAATAAACTTTATTTTTTAGAGCAGTTTTAGGTTCACAGTAGAAAGTACAGAGAGTTCCCAAATACCACCTGCCCCGCATGTGCATAACCTCTCCCGTTATCCACATCCCCCACCAGAGTGGTACGTTTGTTAAAACTGATGAACCTACGTAGACACATCATCATCATCCAGAGTCCATAGTTTACATTAGGGTTCAGTATGAGCGTTGTATATTCTTTGGGTTTTGACAACTATATAATGACGTGTATCCATTATTATAGTATCATACAGAATAGCTTCACTGCCCTAAAAATCCTCTGTTCTCCCTATTCATCCCTGCCCCCAACCCCTGGCAACCGCGGATCTTTTTACTGTCTCCATAGTTTTGCCTTTTCCAGAATGTCCTATAGTTGGAATCATGCCGTATGCATTAATTTTCCTCCATGTCTTCATGGCTTGATAGCTCATTTCTTTTTAGTGCTGAATAACATTCCACTGTCTGAATGTACCCCAGTTTGTTTATCCATGCATCTACTGAAGGACATCTTGGATGCTTCCAAGTTTTGGCAATTATGAATAAAGCCGCTATCAACATCCATGTGCAGATTTTTGTGCAGACATAAGTTTTCAACTCTTTTGGTTTAGTAAATACCAAGATGTACAATTGCTGATTCATAGGGTAAAAGATTTTAGTTTTGTAAGAAACCACCAAACTTTTCCAAAGTGGCTGTATCATTTTGTATTCCCACAAGCAATGAGTGAGAGTTCCTGTTCCACAAACTCTCCAGCAACCCGTGGTGTTATAATTTATTTTTAAAGCTTTTATTTGTAGATTCTGCCATACATTTTTGTAGAGGTTCAAAGCAAAAAAAATTAATTGATCAAAGAAGATTTAGAAAATCTTCAATTTCTTAGTGATAAGATCGGAATGGAGCTAGGATCTGTGTCTTGAAAAGCTGGCAACTGGAACATTTCATTCAGAATAAGACTTGGGCTTTAATTTAAAATGCATCTTAAAATTCCTTAAATTCCCTGACTTGTTGGAAGACATTTCAACATATTTAGATTTTTACAAGGTGAAGTATTGGAATCACCTTTTGCAAATATATATTTTTTCAGAGATGAAAACAAATGCTTGTTAATATGTGAGTTGATAAGCACAAATTTATTAGGGCTTTGTTTTTAATGCTGTTTTTACCAATTGTTTTAAATATTTTTGCTTTTATCCAGATAAAGTGAATACTGGATTGTCATTTTCACAGCTGTAACCCAGGCTCAATGTTTACTGTTTTTTGGAACTAGTACTTGTAATTAACGCATAGATTATTCAATTTAAAAAATGACTACAACTGAGTAAAAAGATTCTCCAATCATTCCTTCATTTCTAAATACTAACTGTTCTGTATGTGTATTATTGTCATGCATGATCCCTGTGTGAGAGTCTGTGCATTTATGGCCACCAATACCAAGTCCTTTCCTTGAATGGTCCAGGCCATGTGTTATTTGTGATCTATTCAAGCTGATTGAGGTGGTATTTTTTATTTTCTGTTAACAAGGTTACTGAGGCTCAGAGAGGTTAGGCCTTGCCTGAGATTACACAGTTAGCGAGGCTAGAGTATGAGTCTGTTCTGGACACTGTGCTTTTTTACCCTAAGCTTATTAGCAACTGAGGACCTGCACATGGAGGAGGCTTCGCAGGAGAGGACCTGAGTCAGTCATGGACGCTGTTTGCTGCTTGGCCAAACTTGCAGTGAATTTTCAAACACTGTGTAGCTGGTTTCAGTTTTGGTTTATGTGGTGTCAGTGTTAGATTTGCACACCGACTTTTAAGCATGATTTGGAGCCATCTCATTTCTGATAGTGTTCTCTATTGCTAGTGTCGGAGCAGGGAAAATCATCCTGAATTTTTGACCAGGTCTGACAATTTGTCCTCCAGCTCAGACCATCTTAAAACTATTCAAGAAGCATACTATTGATACACCCAGCATATTCCTCAAAAATAATTCTTTCCTTAAATGAATTGATTTAGTTTAATGAGTCCCCTCTCCTGGCCATATAAAACATGCTCTTTATAGAAAATAAAGAGAGGAAAGATGGACCCTCCTACCAGGAGATAATTGACTCATGTTTAAAATATTGTCTTTCGGGCTATCATCTATTTACATTCAACCACAAATACAGTTTTTGCATTGTGCCTTTAATTTTCCCACTTGAAAAACTTTGAATATGTAGTTGGTTGAGGTAAATGGTTGTTTACTGAGTGCCTGCTATATGCTGATGCCCAACCAGCCTCAGGCTGAAGAGTGAAGGCCAGCACTCCCATTCTTGCTTGAATTTACAATCTAGGGGAGGTTTTCCCTCAGTTTTTATGCAACGTAAAGGGATCCTTTGTAATGTAACTACCCTCTTCAAAATTTATCACTTCGAATAATTTGGAATTTCATGCTTTGAGTTTTCTTGAAGCTGTGCTTTTTTTTAATGTCTCTTCCATGTTGGATGTGTCATCATTGCACTTATTGATCAGAACCACTGGGTGGCAGCAAAAGAACATGGAAGATATTCTATCTCGCTTTCGTGTGCACAAAAACGAAGTGAAAGCTATTCTTTGGATTTCATGTGTGATGGGCAGAAAAAAATACAGTGATTTAAACTTCACATGTAACCAACACATCTCATCACTAAATGTATGTTACTGTAAGTGTAAAAGATTAAATTTATGCTTTATTATTATCAAAGCCATATTGTAAAGTTCTCCTTTTAGTCACAAAAGTATCTTTCAAGATTCCTATGTAATTACTTTTCTGTTTATAAAGGTGAAGAAAAAAACCCAAGCTAGATACTAAGGAAAACTTGTTTAGTAAGAAACTTGTGAACAGAGAGTTTGAATGTCAAGGGACAATGGAAAGGAGTCATTTTCTTGATAGCCTGTTTTAAAGAGCGTTCTTGGAGAAAAATTGAGATTGGAGATTTTGTTCATAGAGAAGAGTTTGTTTTCCTTTTTCTTTTTAAAAATCACTTAGCAAGCATGTTTTAAGTAATGTGAGTCTCTGAAGATTTCATCCCAATTTCTAGAAGGTGGCAACAGCTTAGTTCCCAGCTGAGTAGACCTTATATAT